TACACTGCAGCAGTGGGGAAAGGTGGGGTGGTAACTGAGGGCTGATCAAAGTAGTCCATATATGCCAGGTAGAGAATTTGGATTTTGTCCAGAAGACAATGGGAAGTCATTGAGGGATTTTAAGTGAGGAAGCAACACCCTCAGTTTTACATTCTAGGGACTACTCTGACAGCATGGACAGACAGAGGCATTTAGGGATGACAGCAGAAGTCTTGGTGAGACATACTGTATGTCAGAACCAAGGCAGAGCCAAAGAAATGCACAGGACTCTGGGGAAGATGAAGAGAAGGCAGGGCCCTGGTCTCTAAGCGAATGGTGGGGCCATTGGAACATAACACGTCCTGAACCAAGCTCCTGATTTCCTCTGCTTGTTACTGTCTTTTGGTTTATCAAGTAAATGGCAATTTCATTTTGTAACTGCCCACAGCAACTAATCTGGGAGTCCTTTACTTTGCTCTTTCTGTTGTTGTAAGGCTACTGAGACAGTTTCAACCCACAGCGACTCTATACTGGGTTTCCAAGGAGCAGCTGATGAGCCTGAACCACCGACCTTGCAGTCTAGCGCCTTAACCCACAGCGCCATACAGCTCTTTTTCAAACTCCTACATATGTGAATCACTGGCAAATCATGCTGTGACCTTTAAAATACACATAGTTTCTAAGATGCAAATATATCCAGGAATGTGGTGGAGTGCACAGGTGGCAAAGTGATGGAAACTTCTTAGACGTAACCAAACACCTCAAGGGAAGGAGTCATGGGACCTGGGGGCTCCAGGGACACCAAGGTCAACTGGCACAACACAGTCCACATTCTACTTCGGTGAGCAGTGACTGAAGTCTTTGAACACTAATACCAGGGAGGTATGCACTTCTTAGACTAATCAATCATTTGCGATTAAAAGGGCAACATTTATCCAAGGACAAAGTTTAGAAGGGTGAGGAGACGAGGAAGGGAATGAGAAGAAACATAGGGAGGAAATGAATAAGTGATGTTATACTGTGGGTACTGCAATTAATGACGTGAAGAAAATGTGTATGAACTGGTGAATGGAAAACGGATTTGCTCTGTAAACCTTCACACAATTCACAATAAAAAGTTAAGAAACCAAAGTTAAAAACCTAAAACATACAGAATCTGACTTTTTCCAAGTCACTATCTTCTCTTGCCTGGACTATTCCTCCTAAGTGGTCATCCTGCTTCCACTCTTGTCAGAACACATTCCATGACAGTCAGAACACATTCTTGGCTCAGAACTCTCTGAGGACCTTTATTTCACTCTGAAAAATGCAAAGTCCTTTTCATGGTTTAAAAGGGCCTGTAAGAGCTGGGCCCCAAGTATCTCTCAGGCTCAGTCTACTCCAGCCCACTGGCCCATTTGTTACTTCGCATATGCCAAGCACACTCAGGCCACAGGGCCTCTGCTCTTGCTTCATCTTCATGAACTGCTTTCCCCCAGGTTACCTATCTGCACGCCTGGCTTTCTTCTCACTTCATTCAGGTCTTTGCTCAAATGCCCCCTCCCTTATGAGAGGGTTTTCTGGCCTCCTGGCTCCCCACTCGTCACTCTCTTCCTGGCATCTCCTCTGTCATTCGCTAAGGTAGTAATATTTATTTATTTGCGTATTTTATAATGATGTCAAATCACACAAGGTATAAGTCATTATTATGTTTCCCAAAAAGATACACATAAGTACTCACAATGTGAACTTAAGACATAGAAATATTATCTACCTTTGTGAAGTTTTCTAACACTAACCAAAACCCCAAGCCTACTGTAATCTAGAAGTCCTTGTGTAGTCTTATAGGAATAAGCATTGGAATGCTAATTCCAGGGTTGGCAGTTCAAACCCACTGGCCGCTCCTCGGAAATCTTAACACTGGGTTGCTATGAGTTGGAAAAGACTCGATGGCACTTCTGTCTCTCTCTCTCTCTCTCACACTGCAAAGTAGAATTGACCCATGGGGTTTCCAAGTCTAATGTTTATGGAAGCAGACTGCCTCATCTTTCTAAAGCTAAAACGTGGTTGATGAGTTCAAACCACCAACATTTTAGTTAACAACTGACCACTTTAAGCATGGGGCTACCAGGCCTCCTTTCTCTAGGATAAATTCTAAGTTATTGGGAACCGGTCACTAGAAAGTTTAGAAAATTTCTGAACTTAGACACAGAAGCATGTGAAGTATGTGAACAATGCAAACAACTTTTAAAGTTCATTCTGACCTGGAATGTTGTGACAACCAGAACCCAAACACACCAGACCAGTTCATCTTGGAAACTAGACTTGAGACCTGAGGCTGCACAAGCTGACTGATCTCTAAGCTTGAAGAAAAGACATAGCAGTTAGCTAACTGCTAATTCTGGTGTCACACTGGCCCTTACCATGCGAGGCTCAGGTGAGAACCTCACACATGAACCCTGAAGTTCTGCTCGCTCACGAGAGAAACAGGCAAAGGGATCGTTCTCTAGTCTCTCACTCTCTCTGAACATGGAGAGCCTGTTACTGCTGGCTACAAGGGACCTCTGCTGAGGTCAAGCCATGGTCAAGCCTTTCTTCCAAGATCTCTCGTTCAAGGTCAAAGTCTGAAACCTAAAACTTTGGACTCTAGCCACGGAATCAACATGGTAATTGTGGTGGCTCATTCTGGTTCTCTGGTTCCAAATGAATGTTGTGAGGCCTTACTTGTGTGCCTTGCTAGGACTACCTTGTAATAGACTAAAAAAAAAAAGTTCATGCAGCTCAAAACTGGGTATCTCGATTTCCTCCAAAGATGAAATCCCACACAACGGAAAGCAAGGATATGGTCTGCTTTGGCCACTCTGGGAGCGTAGTGGTTACGAATTGGGCTGCTAATCTCACGGTCAGCAGTTCAAAACTACCAGCTGTTCCACGGGAGAAAGATGAGGTTTGCTGCTCCCACAAAGATTTCCAGCCTCAGAAACCCTACTCCAGGTGGCTGAAAGTCGGAACCAACTCCCCAGCACTTAACAATGTCAGATAAGAGGAGCCCTGGTGACGCAGTGGTTAAGTGATCGACGGCTAACTAAAAGACTGGTGGGTTCAGCCCATCAGCAGCTCTGTTCCCAAAGGGCTGCACTCTAGGAAGCCCTATTGAGAACTTCTCTGTTTTACTGGGGCACTCACTATCAGCCAGAATGGAGTCCTGGGGTGGCACTGTGGGCTAATGCACTGGACTGCAAAGGTAGTTAGATCCGCAAGGCCGGAGGTTCAAGCTCACCAGCTGCTCCTTGGAAACCCTATACAAGGTTGCTATGGGGCAGAACCAACTCAAAAGTACTTAACAACATGAGTCAGAACTGGAGTTCTGGTGTGGCGCTATGGATCAGCACTGGATTGTGAACCCTGAGGTTGGCAGTTCAAACCAACCAGTTGCTTCTTGGAAACCCTATACAGGGTCGCTGAGTTGGAACTGACTCGATGGCACTTACCAACATCAACATGAGTCAGAACTGACTTGATGGCACACAATACAACCACAAATTATTTTAAAGTCACTGAATTCTAGGGGAAATACAAGATGAGGTTCCTGTTTGTATCTGGCTATAACATTTTTACCAACTGATCAGTTAAATACCCTTGTTTTACGTGTGCTTCTGTTTATGGAGCCTGGAGCCCTGGTAGGACAGTGGGTTTAGCACTGGGCTGCTAACCACAAGGCCAGTGGTTCAAGCCTACCAGCCAATCTGTAGAAGGAAGATGAGGCAATCTCAACATGGTCAACTGGCATAATATAGTCCACAAAGATAACGGTCTACATCCTCGTTTGGTGAGTAGCAACTGGGATCATAAAAGCTCATGAAAAACCACCTGTGCAACTACTGGTCTTTCCCTAACAGGGAGAAAGAAGAGTGATGAAAACTGAAGACGCTTGGAAACAATTAGTCCAGTGGACCAATGGACCAGTCTCCACGACCCTGAGACCAGAACTAGATAGTGCCCGGCCACCACTACCCATTGCTCTGAAAAGGATCACATTCGAAGGTCCTGGATAGAAGTGAGAGAAAATGGGGAACAAAACTCAAAATCATAAATACCATGCTTACTGGTTGGTCAGAAAGAGACTGGTGGAGTCCTAAGACTATAGCCCTTGGTCACCCTTCAGGCATGGAATGAAGTTACTTCCATGGCTCAATTGACAGGTTTATAGGGCAGACGACAACACTAGTGAGGTATGCACACCACAGAACAGTCAACTGAGATCAAGAGGGCAGCATTTCCCCAAGTACAAAGTAGAGGACAGTTGAGAGAGGAGGAAGAGGCATTTAGTAATGTTACACTGAGGGTGGTTGCAATCATTGAGATGAATTGTTGACTGTAAAACTGATGACTTGGTTTGTAAACTTTCACTCAACTCACAATTAAAAGCTAAAATAATAATAAAAAAAGATAGATATATATATATAGTCTCAAAAACCCTACAGAAGTCCCTCTGAGTTGGCATTGACTTGATGGCAGTGGGCTTGATCTATTTAAAGACATTTACTATTGATCACTGTCCACTGAACTCCTGGCCTGCAGCACTGGGCCGCATGGAGTTTATGTAACTCATGTGTAGGCATTTTCTCTGTAAAATGCATCAGAGCCTCTAGTGCTTGGGAATATTAGGCAACACTTCAGCACCCTTGGGGGTCATTTTAAACAGTGAAATCATCAACAAAAAACACAAAAATGAGAAAAACAGGGCAACCAGACATGTGTTTACTGTATGAGAGCTGAAACAGGGCAGAGCGTTACCTAGTTCAACATCAGTTGAAGATGTGTGCAATGGGAGACCCAAACTTTTCAGCGGTCTGCATGTGCCTGTGAAACAAAAGCAGAAGCAGTGTCCTGGTTTTGGGGCGACAAAGAAGTGTTAGTGAGTAGGTAGAGTCACCAACATGAAATCTGTGAACAATGAGGATTGCCTCTTCTCTGTAGTTAGTAGAGGCCCAGAGGGAGTGCTGACACACTTCTAATCTTTTGTCCTGTGTCCCTCTCACCTTCATGTACTTGTTGAAGACAGTCTGGATCTCCTCATTGATGCTGGGCTGCAGGACAGCACGGAGGAGGTCCATAGAAATGGCAGGATCTGTGAAACTGCATTCAGGAAGGAGAGACAGTCAGGGGCCAAGTGGGTAATCAACAACATAAATCAGTCTCCACTTCTTACCTCCTTGTTCAGTTCTGACACCAGCTGCCCACATAGCACTTGTTCCTCTGATCCTAGCCACCTGGAGCTAGGTTAGACCGCACAAGCTAAAGGAAGCCATCCTTCAGACTGTTAAATTAGGCAGGTGCCAGTCACAAATTTGTGAGGCTTTATCACACCCTCACTTCTAACCTGCTGACTACCAATTCCAGGTTTCCCTCTACCCCTTCAGGATGCCAGCCACAAGCTGAGGGGATTCACCTGGCTCCCTCCTTTCTGACCTGCTGCCTTCCACTACTCTTTTGGGTTCGATAATTTGTTAGAATGACTCACAGAATTCACAAAAAGTGCTATACTTACAATTACAGGCTTATGAGAGCAAAGAGGAGTCCTGGTGTGGCACTACAGGATAAGCACTGGACCACATGGTCAGCTGTTCAAAACCACCAGCTGTTCCTCAGAAACCATTTACAGGGTTGCTATGAGTCAGAACTGACTCCACAGCACTTAATAAAAACATAGCAAAAAAGGAAGCAAATGAAAAAAACACAGAGAACAAGGTCTGGGAGGGTTCCATGGAGCTTCCATGTGCTACTCTTCCACGCGCAGTGACGGCTTTTACCAGTAAGGAAACCCATGGAGTTCTACGTCTAGAACGTCTACTGGGGGTCTCACTACATTACACACACTCCATTCCCTCTCCCCTGAAGATCAGTTGATATCACTGGATCATCATGAGACATCACAAGACAGCGTTCTCTGGCCTGGCCACCAAAAAGGTGAAATCCCTCTGGAATGGCCCACAGTCTCCCATCCCATAGTTGCCTCCTGTATAAATTGTCAGGTGTGGAGTCCTTACTGAGGGCACCTCCACCATTAGGGAAAGTCCAAGGTTTTCTGATAGATCATTCAGGAAGACGCTCTGGGGGTGGAGTGGTTAAGTGCTGGATGGCTAAGGGAAGGACTGGCAGCTTGCCCCACCAGCAGCTCCACAGCAGAAAGATGTGGCGGCCTGCCGCTGTACCGTTTACAGTCTTAGAAACTCTGGGGCAGTTAGTTCTACTTTGCCCTTACAGAGTTGCTATGAATTGGAGCCAACTTGATGGGAATTTTGTTTGCTTGTTTGGTTTTATTTTTAACCTCTCAGGAACCAAGGTCAAAAGACCAAATTTTTGGGGCAAAGTAACATAAATCCCCCAGGGGGCATATCCCAAGCATACTCTTTCCAGTTTGCCCCAACTAATTTCTGATCAGGATCCTTTAACAACAGGTAGCTTTTATTGAGAAATCAAATGCGCCCAGTTATTAGATGAATGGTTAGTTCATCCTCATCCTAACTATTGTATGAAATAGAATATTCATACAGAAAACTCCTTCTGTTTTAATAACTACATAGAAGGTGAACACTCATTTCATCATTACCCAGGATAAGAAACATAACCAGCATTAAGATGTCCACCCTGTATTGTGTCCCTTCCCTTAGATCAGGGGTGGGGAACCTTGCTTCTGCCAAGGGCAATCTGGATATTTAAAACATCATCTGTGGTCCATACAAAATTATCTACTTAAAAATTAGCCTGCTATATTTGGTCAAACATTCAATTAACTCACTCCTAATGTGAACTGCTCACCAGCTGCTCCTCGAAACCCTATACAGGGTCTCTATGGGTCGGAACTGACTTGACAGCACTTAACAACAACGTGAACTGCAAGATCAGCGGTTCAAGGTCACCAGCTATTCCTCAGAAACCCTATATAGGGTCGCTATGGGTTGGAATTGACTTGATGGCACACAACAACTATGTGATGACTGGAGTCTTAGTGTGGTATTGCAGGTTTATGTGCTGGACTGCAAGGTCAGTTTGAGCCATAAGATTGGTGGTTCAAACCCACCAGCTGCTCTTCAGAGAACCCTATACAGGGTCGCTATGAGTTGGAACCTACTTGATAGCACGTAACAACAATAACAACAACACAATGTGATGGCTGGAACTGCGGTTGACTTGCAGGGAAAGGCAAACCAAATGATTCCATGAGCCTTATACAGGCCGCGGGCTGGATGTTCCCATCCCTGCCTTAGATGGATACTATCAGCCCCATTTTATTGCTGAAAAGAAAAGGCTCAGGGAAGTTAACGGCATGTCCTGGGTAATATATGTCAGGGTCTACACTGCTGTTAAGTGATGTCAAGTTGGTTCGTTGGTGTATAAGGTTTCCAAGGAGCAGATGGTGAACTTGAACCGTCGACTTTGCAGTTCAAACCAACCTTGCAGTCTAGTGTATTAACCCACAGCGCCACACCAGGATCTGAGTCTACATTACAACCTGTTGTCTGACTCCAAAGACTGTGGTCTTAACCTTCATGCTATCCTGCTTATGAGACCACAACCACAGAAATGACTTATGTCAGGAACCATGGCGTTGTTGTTGTTGTTGTTGTTGTTGGTAAACCCTGTCCAGCAGGGATTCCAAGGAGTGGCTGGTGGACCACAGGCACTGTTTCCCCTCTCCCATTTTGCATGTGAGTTCAGAGAGGGAGGTGACTTGCCTAAGGTCACACAAAGATAACAGAATCTGCATCCCCTAGTTTCCAGTCCAGGGCTCTTTCTATTGACTACAGATCTCTGAAGCTTATGTGGTGGGGATTCATTCCAAAGCTGCCATCCAAGCCAGTGCTTGGGAAGTAAGTTCCCCCAGGCCAGCCTTACCTTGTTGTCATCTGTGAACGGCGGCCCCTTCGTTGCACCTGTCGGTGCTTTATCATGATGTTCCAAGGGTTCTGTGGGAACCAGGGGAGCAGATGTCATTGAGGCCCATGACAGTGGAGTGAGGGTGAAGTTAAATCTAGACATCCCTGCTTTTTAGATCCCTTTGAACGAGGAAAACTGTCCTGTCTCAATAATCCCACTCCCAGCTTTTCTGGGGCGGCAGGAGGAATGGGTTACGGAGGGTCCATTCTGGCAGGGGATGCGCTGAGTGCTTTACTCGCATCATCCCACTCCCACAACTCTCGGAAGCAGGCACGAATCATCTCCATTAGTGATAGAAGAAGAAACTGGAGCTCAGGGGGTTGACAGGGCTGGCCCACGTCACCTAGCTAGGAAGGCGGCTCCACCAGCTGCGAAAACGCCAACCCCCCTGAGCAGCACCGGCCGCCGCGTTCTCTCGCCCGTGGATCAGTGACCCGGGAGCCCGAGGCCCTGCCGGCCCGAGCCCAGCCCGGCCCTGGCCTCACCCGGGGGCGCCCTCACCGTGAGAACCAGCTGCCCCGCTGCGCCCGCGTCCCCCAGTTCGGGGCCGCCCCGTTCGGCTCCGCCAGGCCCCCGCGGCTGCTCGGCGTCACCAGTGGCCCCCATGGCGTCTCAAGCCCCCACCAACTTCAGCCAAACTCTGCCACCGGCCGGAAGGTGGTCCCGTGACGTCACTGGAGCGCGCCGCTCACTGGCCCGGAAGCGCGACGTTCGAGCTGGGGAGTTGCCGTGGGAACCAAACTGCCGCTTCTCGCCTTAGTTTGTGCCACGGAAAACTCTTCGCGTAGTGGTGGCTGGGGGTTCCTCCGGGGCTGTGCCTCGGTGTGGATGGGTCTGTGGCAAGCTTGTAGTGGACGTTGAGTCAAGAGTCGTTCTCTGGATGGGCCAAGGCCCGGGAATAGGCGCGGAGAAGGAGGTTGTTAGTCGGTTCCCACTCATAGCGACCGTATACACAACATAAACGAAACATTGCCCAGCCCTGGGCCATCTTCACATTTGTTGTTATGCTTGATCCCATTGTTCATTCCACTTATTGATTGTCTTGCTGTTTTTTGCTGACCCGAGCTAGAAGGTTTATTGTTAAGTGCCGTTCAGTTGGTCCCGACACATAGCGACCCTGTCTGTATAGGGTTTCCAAGGAGCAGCTGGTGGGTTTGAACCTCTGACCTTGCTTCTCCTACAGTGCCCCAGCAGGAGGAGGGGAGTAGATTTCCGTGGACTGGGGTTTTAGAGAACAGGGGAGCTTTCTGTACAGCGACGCCTGCTGATTAGTCTCCAAAAAACTGATTTATTTTGCCCAATCCCCGGATTTAGAGCGAAGCACAATGCAGGGGACAGAAAATCCAACAAGCAGGGTCATTCTGTCTCAAACACCCATCGACTGGGCCTCTCCAGGATTGAGCCCAGCTGCTGCCATCTCACATTAGATGATAGATTAAAGCTTGGGGTTTAGTCAGCGGACTCCCCCATCCCCAGAGAGCTGAGCTTCTCTCCTCAAAGACAGATGATGATTTTGGATGGAATGAGGATGCCAGAGTTTAACAGTGGTTAAATTCCAAATGCCCCCAAGCTAGAGTATCCTCGAATAGATCTGGATTGGTTACTGGTTGATAGAGGAAGTTCCTTTTTACCACTCACGATATGGGGTAGAGGAGTCCTGATGTGACGCTGCAGGATAATGCACTGGACTGCAAGGTCAGTAGTTCAAACCCACCAGCTGCTCCTCTGAAACCCAATACAGGGTTGCTATGAGTTGGAACAGACTTGATGACACTTAACAACAACAACATGGTATTATGATTAAGAAGATTAGCTATGGAGTTGCGCTGCCTGTCTTTGTTCTACCACTTACTAGCTGTGTGACCCTCCTCTCTCAACCATTCTGTGTCTAACTTTCACCATCTGTTGTTAGGTGCCAT